TTCCATTTCCATTTCCATTTCCATTTCCATTTCCATTTCCATTTCCATTTCCATTATTTCCTTTTCCATTTCCATTTCCCTGTACTGTTACATAGCTAATTACTGTCACAACAGCATCAGACTGAAAACAGCACCAAGCCTCCTTTATTTTTGTAGCATTTATCTCCCTACCTCCAGTGCAGGATGGTGCCTGGCAATATTAATAGCCTTTTGCTTCACTAGTTCTTTTATATAGGGACATTAAAATTGATTTTCTGCATCTTGGCATATGAGGATTCAAAGGTGTGTTACATGCCCTATTGCCCAAAAATGTGCAGTCAGAGAGCAAAGGTTCTGGTGACAGACACTTTTATGGTATCAGGAGACCTGAGCTACTTGAACTGGAGGAGCAGAGCATGACAGGTGTATTTATAGTGCTGCTGAGGAATTAGCCTACATTTGAACTGGCTGCCCAGATATTCTGATTTAAAAATCTTCCTTCTCGACATGAGGGGAGCAAGGCTGAAAAGGAGAGTCAAACTTTGCAAGGAACACTGTCATAAAGTAAGGACATCATTCCTTACAGCAGCAACTTGCCGTGGGAACTACTGGAAATGTATTTTCAGTTTTGAAAGTACAAATTAATGGAGATACAATTCTCAAAAGAGAGTATACATAGGGAAATTAAAGAATAACGTGCCACCAGAAAGTGAAAGAATTCTGAGCATGAAATAACCAAGCTACTGCCAAAGTTTTCCAGTCTTAATTAAAACCAGTTTCCTTTTATAACAGAGATTGTGGAGATCATCTGCAGACACGCAGGCCGGTAAGCATGAGTTTGGGAAAAAGACAGCTGGATGGAGCGAAGATGTAAGATAATATTTTGAAAGCCCAAGAGGAAGATTATGTGCTAGGAACAATCTGTTGAGATCACTTCAAAGGAAATAACCTCTCCTCTTACCTAACAGAATTCTTCAAGTTTAGCCACAAAATGACCAGCCTAGTTGAGGCATTCTACCAAGGTCATGTTATGTATGTGCCCATGGCCCCTTGTTCTGCCACTGGGCACCAGTGAAAAGAGCCTGGCCCCACCCACTTGACTCCCACCCTTTAGATATGTATAAGCACTGATAAGATCCCCTCTCAGTCTCCTCTCCTCCAGGCTCAACAGTCCTAGGTCTCTCAGCCTTGAAGAATGAAGATCTAGAGTACTCCAATCCCTACTGAACAGTCTTTTTTTAACACATGGAAACCAGATTTGGGGGCTTGCTGTATTTATGGATTGGTTTGGTGTTAACATTGACCTTTAAACAGAAAAACAGTGAGTGTGGTATCACTTATGACCAAGTAGATCACTGCAAGAAAGTCCTTCATCTCTCCTCTTGTCCAGTTTTCAGGCAGTGGGAAAGAGCGCTTCTTTCAATCCAAATTTAAGAGGAATCTTTTTATTGACCACAGGGTGCTTTGGGTGAGGTCTTTAATGATCATGGTTATCCTGAAGTTATTAGAAGGGAAACAAAGAAAAGAAGAAAAACATTTTTCTGTCACTAAATTCATGATCTTATTATTGTGTACAGCTATCATCCTTCTCTTAGAAAGCATAAAGCAGAACTAGAAAAGAAACAGAAGGATAACAACAGCGATCAAAAGAATGGGACCCGCTCTGTAAGATATATTTCATTGGGCAAATATCTGGAGAAAAGTATGGTAGAGATCTGTGTAATTATGCATGGCAATGGAGAAAGTGAATTGGGAACAACTGGTCATTGTTCTGCATTTGATAAGAATTAGAGTAGGCCAGATAGGATTATTATCCAGCAAGTTCAAAAGAAACAAAAGGAAGTACTTTGTCATGTAAAATGTAGCTGAAATATGCTTGTCATAGGATGCTGCTGATGCTAAATGTTTCAATGTGCTCAAGAAATGATCTGATAAATTCGTGAAGGAAAAGACCTATCGTGTACAGGAATATTATATTTGGCTCAGGACGGGCAGAAATCTCAGA